GGCCATGTGGGTTGAGATCGCTCCGTGGAATTGGTGAAACTTTGCATCGCGATGTCACGCGTTGTTTTGAGCGCTACCGCGTGTGCCAGGTTTCGAACGACGTGGTATCTAGCGTCGGTGTTTATCGTCATTTATTTGTTCCCTCACAGTCGTGGACTGCCATTAGCATGGATTTGGTGCTAGAATTTCCACGCACGCGGAGGTGCCATGACTCAATTTTAGTGGTGGTGGATTGTTTCTCCAAGTTGGTCCATTTTATCCCATAAAAGCGCACGACTGATGTTGGTCATATGACGGAGCTGTTCTTTCGGGATGTCTATCACTTACACAGTTCTTCATCCTCTATTGTGTATGACCGCGACATTTTTTTCCTCAATTTCTTTTGGCATAGCTTGTGGCGCCAATCTAATACTTGTCTCGATTTTAGAATTGCATATCACCCGCAGGTAGACGGTCAAACTTAGCTTGTCAATCGGTCGCTCGACAGTTCGTTGTGTTGCTTGGTTGGCGACAATTTGCGGAGTTTGGATCTTCAGCTCAGTCAGGCCAAGTTTGCACATAACTTTTCCATTGGTCGGGCTACTGGATTTTCTCCTTCCTAGATGGTCTATTCTGTCTAGCTGCGCGGCCCTGCGTACTTGGTGGCCGACGCCCGATCGTGTGAAGAAGAGAGTAGAGAAGTTCATGGTGGACTTGCATTGGACTCATGAGACGGCTCACGCAAACTTAGAGGAGACGACCACATCCTACAAGCGGTAGGCGCATGCTTGTCAGTGTCATGTGGAGTTTGAGGTCAGTGATTTTGTTTCCGTTGTGTTGATGAAGAGTCGATTTTCTGCACATGAGTATAACAAGTACTTATCGGTTCGTAAGATAGACCAGCTGGAGATTGTGGAGAAAATCAATCTGAATGCCTACCGCCTCTGTTTGCCTTCACGTTATGCATTTAGTCCAATTTCACGATGATAATTCGGATGAAGACGAGATTGCATCGGATACAAGGGCGAAACTTTTTCAGGAGGGAGGAAGGATGGAGACGAGATTGCATTGGTCTTTTTGGATAAGAATGATCGTCTAGCAATATCATTGATTTGATCAATTATTTCGTTTATATTTATAATTATTTGCATATTAAATTTGGTAGGCATTATTATTTATTTCTCCTATTCTCTTTTTTGTTAGGCAAGATATTTCTCCTCTCATATTCTTTTAGTTGATTGATTTTGATTAAACAAAAATATATTCGAATGTACTCTTTCAAATCTCTCTTTCGGGCGTATACGCTTTTTCTACGTTAATTAGTTTTTTTATTCATTTAAATATTGTTTCCTGATCTATTCATGCATTCGAGTTCTCAAATGATGTATATAATTTAGATTGTTTATTCTACGTGGTACCATGATCAGTGCATGTTATATATAGCTTGTTCCTTTTGATCCCCAGATTTTTCATTTTTTTATTTCATTTTTTAAAATGAAAAAGAATGAAAATTCATTAACTCGTGTTTTTACGGGATTAGTTAGTCAAACTAAATGGGGAATGAAAGAAAAGGACTGTATAGGCTGTCAAAGTAATGAGATCGATGTCCGTGATCGATATATATTTGATTCTCACTTGCTTGGACTGTTGGCCATAATTTCGTTTCAATATATATTTCTATACTTCATATATGAAACGGTATGTATTGCGCCACATCCACCATATTTCCATGCTATATTTGATTCTCGCTTGCTTGGACTAATGGACACAATTTCGTTTCAATATATATATATATAGAGAAATGATCATATGAGAATGATAGATAGTGAAAGAAATAAGAATGGTTGTGAACCATTAGATCCAACATATTAATGATTATGATAGAGTCAAATATTAGTAACTAAAGTCAAACTCATTAAGGGTAATTTAGTCATTAACATTAATTGAGGGTAATATGGTCATTCAAATAACACCCACCTACCCTATAAACGACTATTATATC